TCGAATTTTAAAACACATTATCTTGCTTGATTCTCATCCTATGAAAAGATAATATCAACATTTTGCAGTTGAGGAAAATGTGGCTTCACCCAGTTCAGTAGGTTGCCCACCATCCATGCCACTCAGCTGGTAAGTAGCACAGTTGGGATTCAAACTCAGTTGTGTCTGATGCTCCTTCCTGTGCTACAGTGAAGCACAATCATGGGAGTTTGAAATGCAGGCAGATTTTGGTGTTAAGGCAGGCCACGCTCTCCGTTCTATTGTGATGGTTAAGTTCATGGAATGAATGGTATTTCTGGATTAATTGGATGTTGTGAAGCAGCCGTTTCAGTGGTCAGGAGTTAGAACGCTGGAAACAGCCTGCAAGGCCAAAAGAGCTCTCCAGTCCTGACGTTTCTTGCATAGTTGTTCTTTACCATAATTAGCTAATATAAACATTCTTGATTTATAGCGTTCTTAATATGCTAGTCGGATTCTTTTTAATTTTTAATAAGTGTGGTCGTGTCCATATCCTCAGAAGAATTGAGAAATTACATGTCAGTGTTGAGATAGGAGATTTACAGGTCGGTGGAAGGGAGATAGGAGATTTACAGGTTGGTGGAAGGGAGTATTTTCTGCCTTGGAAATTATGGAAATGGAAATAGTATCTGGTAAAACATGCAGCTGATAATATGGTGAACGTTACTTCTAATGCCTCAGAGTTTGGTAAATTTTCCCATTCAATATAATGAACATAATTATAATATTCAAGGCTTAGGTGTTATAAATGCGTTTTCATTTATACGTAGTTGGTCATTACGTGTCAGCATAGATACGTTAATTCTGTTTCTTTAATGCGGCAGATGTGAGACTCTTGTGTTTGGGAGACAATCATATTAAACATCTGTGCTGCTCTGTAGACTTCATTGCTTTTGGAATTACAGCAAAATTGAATTATAGTCGACCTTCTGTATCTGTGGGTTCCGCATCTGTGGATTCAGCCAACAGCAGATCAAAATGATTTGGGGGCTGGACACAGTGGCTCTTGCCTGTAGTCTTAGCTCCCCGAGATCTTGGCTGAGGTGGGAGGACCTCTGAGCCCAGGAGTTTGAGGACGCAGTGAGTTATGATTGTGCCACTGCGCTCCAGCCTGGGCAACACAGTGAGACCCTACTTCTGAGAGAGATAGGTATATTTTATATATATTTATAGATATACATACATGTGTATTTATATGTATATATATTGGGGAAGAAAAATGGATGGTTGTGTCTTGACTAAACACGTACAGACTTTTTTTCTTGTCATTATTTTCTAAAACAGACTCTGTAACAATGATTGACACACACGAGGTGATTTCAGGGATACAGGAGGATGTGCATAGGTTGTATGCAAATCCCATATCATTTCACAGCACGGACTTGCGCATCTACAGACCTTGGTATCCTTAGGGGGTCGCGGAACCAGTTCCCCCACGTATACCAGGGAACACTGTAATTCAGTATTGGTTGTTGTGGCTGCGACTGGCAAAGCAATATTCACAGAAGAAAATCTTGACCAGGAAGCATTTTTAAGTTTCAATTTTAATTTTGAGACATTGTTTATTTTTAAAAAATAACTTTACATATAACTGTAAAAGAAAATCAGTTTGTATGGTATTTATTTTTTCAAATGTGTTATTTTTTGAAAAGTATTTTCTAAGAGAGTAAGCATGTAACTTCATTTCAATTAATACATTTATTCCAGTTGACTAACAATCAAACTAGGTTTTTTAAAAAAGAACATTTACTTTTCTGTGTACGACACACACAGTGTAAGTGTATTTTTTATTTGTAATTTGATAAGTTAATGATTCTGTCCTCTGAACTATTCTACTAGGATTGTACTTATTCTCTACTTACATGTCTCTTTACAAGTGAATGTTCTTTGTATTACAATATATAGTAGACACTGAATATATAATTGGAGTACTTAACTTTTTATTTTGAAATAGTTATAGATTCACAGAAAGTTGCAGAAACAAAAATGCAGACAGGTCGTATGTCCCTTTCACTCGGTTTTCTCCAGTGGTAGCGTTTTTTGTTTTTTTCTAAATACGTGTATATATATATTTTTAGAGGCAGTGTCCGGTTCGCTGGTAGGGAAGAAAACCTAATGATAGTGAGCGAGGGAGGGGGAGAGTGAGGCACGACCAACTGCCCATCCCGTCATGGTCTGGAACTCGGTTTCCAGGGTTTCTCTGGGGTCCCTTTGGCCAACGGGGGGTCTGTTCAGTCGGTTAGGGGCTCAGAATTTTTTTTTTAATTTCTCAGGGTGGAGATGGGACCCGGCGTGGCTCAGCTTCCCAGCTTCTCCAATGGGGACCTCCTTTCCGTCCTCTGCTGGCTTCTACCTTCTGCCAACAGCCCTGTTCTTTCCTACCCTTTGCATGTGCTGTTTCTTCTGCCTGAAATGCTTCTTTCCCCTTCCCACCCATCTTTCTTTTGTCTAGTTAACACCTATTCATTTTGCAAATCTCACTCCTTTGTCCATCAAGCCTTTCAAGGCCACAGCTCACATACCGTCCTACAAGCCTTTCCTTCCCGGCACGCGTTACAGTTAGTAACTGTGGAATTGGTGCTTACGTGGAGAATGCTAGCTGAGAAGTTTTGGGGGCAGACACCCGCTGTTGCCCACTGTTTGTGCCCCTTGTGCCTAATACAGTGCTTGCTTACGTGGTCTTCGTGCGTGTTAGTTAAGTGAGGAAATGCTGTCACGGCTCGTGGTCTTCACGCGTGTTAGTGGTCTTCACGCTGCGGTTAAGTGAGGAAATGCTGTCACGGCTCGTGGTCTTCACGCGTGTTAGTTAAGTGAGGAAATGCTGTCACGGCTCGTGGTCTTCGTGTGTGTTAGTTAAGTGAGGACAGTTAAATACTGTCACAACTGGATGGGTTCTTGCCCACTGCCCAAAAAGCGAATGCTGAGAACAGCAAATATTGCAACAAAGAAGCAGTTTAATCATAACGGGGCCGGCTAAGTGGAAAACAGAAGGCATTTCTCAAATCCACCTCCCTGAGAACTTGGAGGCTAGAGTTTTTAAAGACACTTTGTCAGGCAGGGGCCTGGGGAACTGAAACAGTTGATAGGCTGTGGATGGAAATCACAGGAGTGTCTAACCTGCACAGCTGAGTCAGTTCCTGGTTCGGGTTGGGCCTCAGGACCAGGTAGCATCTCTTGGTTTGTGGAAATGCTAAACCTGAAAAATATCTCAAACACCAGTCCTTTAGGTTCCACAATAGTGATGTTATCTACAGGAGTAGTTGGGAAGTTCCAAGGCTTATAGCCTGTGACTGTGTGACTCTGGTAGTGAGCAACTTAGAGAAAAGCAAGCTTAGCAGTGGCCCGTGATTGTTTAAGTGTGTTGCAAACGAAGTCCAGGCCCCACCATAATTCGAATCCAGCCTTAGGAATGTGGCTTCAGTCCCCAAACAAGCAGGAAGGTCAGGTTTTCTAGCCTCAAAGTTTAACTATAAACCAATTTTTTCTTACAGTTATCTTGGCCTCCGCACCAGAATAAGCTCAAGACAATGTAGCCTGAGAGGTTAGAAGCAGGATGGAGTCGGTCATGTTAGACTTCTCTTATTACTTACATTCTGCAAAGATGGTTTCAGTGCCATCCTTCCACATACACTTTTTTTGTAAAAATTATTAAAACTTGGTGAAGCATGAAAAATCTTTTAAATGTAGCATGAATCCTGTCCACGACATAAAACAAAGATATAAAGTAAAGTTTGAAGAAATGTGAACATTTTGACGCAATCTGTTGGCGGATATGACTTAACTAAATCCTGACTTTTAAAAATCCTGTTTGAGGAAATACTGTTTGATACAAGATGAGTGCCCAGGCCTGCAACCTGTACCAGAATTCACACTGTGTAGCTTACTTCCATCTGTGTCTTAGCTCATTAAAAAAAAAATGTCTTTTCTGCCTAGTTTACTTCGCTTGCTGCCAAATGGAAAGAGAAAAAGGCTGTAGGTTTGTCATCTGAGCAGTCGGCAGATTCTACGTCTTTCACTTAAGAAGCCATTTCCTAGCAGTTCTTCTATTGGTTCATTCCTTCACAAATCTTTCCTGAGTGCCTGCCGGCTCCAGGCACGGTTCTAGGCCCTGGGAGTAGACTCCTGCAAAGCGGTGGCTAGTTCCCACTTCCAGCAGACAGCCCACGTTCTCGCTCACGGGTGGTTAATTTATACGACCATACCACCGAGTGACTTACCATTGGTCTTTATATAATGTGTTTCTCTTTAGAGGGGCTTTTAGCTTAATTTGGTTGTAAATCAATATCTTTATTTAATAAACGTAAGTATTAATTATTTTAAAGTAGAGTAAGATTGAGCAAAGTTCAACTGCATTATTAATTTATTTCTAAGAGGATCTCTATGTTATGGGGTTAGGCCTAATTCATCTCAAAGAGAAAGCCTTAAATCACACAGGGACATTAAGTGTCCAAGCTCCACAGTTCTTTTAGGTTGGAAAAGAAAATAATCTGCAATTCATTATTATGACTGTTTGTTAGGATGTCAGTTTAGCTTTAACACTGGCTGACACCATGAATTACCATTTGTTTCTTGACCTTTTCATCTTTTAGTCCTATTGTCAGTTATTATATGCATTTGAAAAGTCGAGAGAGTATTTGAACAGGCTCTCACTGATAGCAAAGGAACAGAAAAAGTATTCCCTTTGAGGTTTTAAATATATTTTTAAAGATCGGCGCCCATGTCTTAGTTCCACGTAATCCTGTATTTTCATGTACAAACCCTTATTTGACAATTACCACTTTTTGAAATTAAACAATGTCTTTATTCATGTTGTCTTGCCAACTAAAATATTTAAAGTTATTATTTTAAAACTATAATGAAATTCTATTACTCATTTTACATTTGATGTTATTTTTAAATTTCCTGACTCGTAAGTATAATGTACATAGTGGAGTGACTTATTAAGCAGTTTATTCACATATATATTCTTTTGTTTTATCAAGCCACTGCCAAAAAATATGGTATCTCGTCTTTGTGAATCTAAAAAGGTTTGTGCTGCAGCTGATATGCAACTTCAGGTATGTACCTTTGTTCTGAAGTTTTCCGGAGTCATTATCCCAAATACATATCTAACTTTAAATTCTTGCCAATGATAACTATTTATTATAATAATTATGCTTCTAAAACATCTTTCATCTGAGTTCAAAGAACTTGACCAAAATTGACTCATTTAGTCCTCACACTGCCCTTATGAAGTAGGCATTGAATAAAATTATTTCCCGACCAGGCACGGTGGCTCACACCTGTAATCCCAGCACTTTGGGAGGCCGAGGTGGGTGGATCGCGAGGTCAGGAGTTCGAGACCAGCCTGACCAACACGGTGAATCCCTGTCTCTACTAAAACTACAAAAATTAGCTGGGTATGGTTGTGCGTGCTTGTAATCCTAGCTACTCAGGAGGCTGAGGCAGGAGAATCGCTTGAACCTGGGAGGTGGAGGTTGCCGTGAGTCGAGATCTTGCCACTGCACTCCAGCCTGGGCAACAGAGCGAGACTCTGTCTCAAAAAAAAAAAAAAAAAAAAAAGACTATTTCCCATTTTCAGTTGGGAAAAAATGAAAGCTTAGAAAAATTACATGACTTCTTCTAAATCACACATTTTACCAGCTAAATTAAGGCTCAAACTTAATTTTTTAAATATATATATATGTATGTTTATTCATTCTGTATCTTTTTAAAATTTTTGTCTTTTTAGGTTTGAAGTTTAGATAGTAATTGCTGTTAGTTTTAGATAATATTCAAAACCAACTTCCCAGGTTTCAAGATGAAGACTAGCAAACTTTCATGAACCATCTGGATGCCAGGTCTGCATGACACCAGATGTGAATGTAGATGTTTGTAATGACTGAGATTGTTTATGGATTTCTCACTCCTCTTCAGATCTTGAGAGTTATGTAAACACCCTAAACACCCATCTTTCATCTTAGGCAATATTCACTTTATGATGATTCAGTTACCTGTTTAACAAAGTAACCACTATTTAATTGCTTTGTGGTTTTGTAAAATTCAGTCCCTAGAAGGTAATGAATGTGCTTTGTTTTCCTGTACCTTGAAACATGAAATCCATGTTTCAATGAAGGAAATCTATTATATAGATAAAACCATGAATCTATATTTGCTTTACCTTACTCAGTATCTATTCATATCGATATAATTTTTAAAGGATTTCTGAATTATTTTTAAAAATTAACATTACTTGGCTGGCAAAAGTCTTGATTTGCTGGTATCTTTAGTAGAAGGGCCTGGCTTTTAAAAGTCTGTTTTGTGGCTTTCTTCTTGAAAAATTGTTCTAATAATTTTCTTTTAAAATGGAAAACCAACCTTTCCCTCCTCCTCCCTCCAAAAACAACAGCCCCCTAGAGACAGACAGAGACAAAGTCCTGGTAGAGGAGCTGCCTGGGTTCAGCTTTTATGTTACACTTGGACAGTGGAGACAAAGGAAGAAAGGAAGTGAATTGTTTCAACTTTCCTTGGGGACATTAAACAGTGTTTTTAAAACTGTACATTTTTTAAAATTATTGTTTTAAAAATAGGCTCTTTATTTTTCCGTGGCTTCGTAAGTTTCTTGGTCCCAGGAATACATGACTCCCTGGGTGGGGAGATAGGCTCATCTCTTTGGAATGGTTTAGTTTATCAGCAAATAAACATAAAAATGATGCACATTTAATTTATTTTACTCTGTTTTCATATTTAATTTATTTTGCTCTGTTTTTATAATTCAAAAAAGTTACCCCATGTTTATTTCATTTGTAAAAGGCATAATTGAAGAAATGAAACTTCTGAATTCTGATTTATTTATACACTGGGGCAAAATAACACCTCAGTTGAAGTTAGAATGTAAGAGTTTCAGTTCCTGATAATTTACTCTGTTAGAATCTAGGTAAGACATTGAGTAATTTTGGCCTCTCTGATTATCTTTAGGCATTGTGACTCATTATAAAATGTAGAATTGAAAGAGCTATATTTAGCTATATATTTAGATTGCCAGTTAGAAGAAAGCAATATTTATATTTAGGAAATGTCTGTATTTTTCTAGGGAAGGTTTAAACTTAACTTTATAATTTAGAACCATAATTCTATATCTGGATGCAGCCAGAAGCTAGAGATCATTTAAATTTTTTCTTTTAACCAAACTAATCCTCACTTCTTTCAAGTCAACAGCTGCACATTCTCTACAAATCCCCTTTCTGAATCACAAAGATACATATCAGAAGCATAATTGCATGTCAAAATTTGTCCTTTAAAATAAAGCATTTTCTGCTTGCCTGCATGAAGTCAAATGTTCAAGTCAGTGTTCAGAAACAATACTTGAGTCAAATGTTGTCGTGAAAAAATGCTTTATGTTTATTTTAGATTTCTTTGCAAAATTTAGTTTTGAGTACTTTGTAAACAGCAGATTTCATGTCCAAACTCTCTTTAATGCTTTATTCTCCCACTGTGTTTCAATGGCCTATATCCTCCACTCAGAGGAGAGCGCTCCTTTTCCCTGGTCATCTAGCTGAGCCCTCCCTGTACAGCAGCTGCTTCCTTTGTACTTCCTGACACCAGGTGTGGGAGTCTAGTTCCAACCTCTCCAACAGCTGCATCAGAATTCTTCGATACATCTGTACTCACCAGATGCTGCATTGCTATTTCTTTCTCTACCCCCACCACACCTATTTAATTTTCTTTTACCTTTCATCACAAAACTAGAATTCTGACCCATTTCATTTCTCTCATTTAAGATATATCAGGATTCCAGGAGGAAACCAAACAGACTTTGTTAGATCCAGCGGGTCAAAAGTTATAACTGGTTTTGTACATTTCTGTCTACGTCTATTTTGGCAAAATTCCCATGTCACATATTTAATTTACCACGTTGTACATAAAGAGTATCTTATGGGTATGGTTCAAAATTCTTTAATATTTATGAAAAGGTTGAGAGCATTCCTTTTAATCTTTAGCATGGTCTTAAATGTGGTGTGAAATACATTTCAAACCATATCCGTTTATTTTTGTGACTGTTTTAAACTGTGACTGGTAACTGTCGTTCTGGTGCACTTATAGCGTCTTTGGTCTACCACATCTTGATGTGAGGCTGGACGACCAAAACTAAGTAGATGTTTTTATCTATCTAGGTCTTTTATGCCGCTCTGGATCAAATCTACCATGGGAAGCATCCCTTGAGGAATTCAACCACAGACATTCTCAAGGAAACACAAGAGAAATTCTATGGCCTACCATACGTTCCAAATACTGTGAGTCCAGCATTTGGCTTCTGTTGTGTGTACTGAGTGGTTCTGCTAGTACTTCTGTAGCTTGTGATTACCTTCCCCTTTGGAGAACTTGAAATCCCTACATTTATGTTGAGGCTTCACATGGTGCAAATGCTAGAAATTGCCTGGCTTATTTAATATTTCCAACTACCCATTTATATGTTCTTATTTTCTGCCCTCTAGCAGTGTTTTTCTACCTTTCTGGAAATGTGGGGGTTAAAAAGGCCATTGGAGTTGGTCTATATTCTTCTTTTTAGTTATTTTTCTATAATGTGAAAAGTAGTGATGAATGTGATTACCAAACCTGAATCATTATCATTGCTAAGAGAATTAACGTGGATTGAGTATCTTACATTGTACTAGGAATTATAATAGATGCTTTACATATCTTATCTTCTTGAGTACCTTGTCAGGAGAGAGAGCAGGAGTAATGTTACCATTTATTGGATTCTAGGCGCCAGACTCTGTCTAATTCCTTTGGGAAAAGATCTCTGATTTAGCTCTTAAAATAACCTTATGAATTAAATAATATCCTAGTATTTGGGGCTCATTTGGAGGCACATACACGTTATTATGTCCTGTCTGAGATCATCTAGGTAGGTATTTGATTGTACTGGGGTTCAAAACAAACAGGCTTTATTCATCACTCAAAGGTTCCTGTGAGGAGCAGCTGAACACTGTGACTCCTAGTGCTGTTAACACGTGATTCTCGGTGCAGTTATGTGACTGACTTAACGTCACCCGGGCCTTTCTCAGGTGCAAGTGATAGAAACGCAATTCACACGGACTTAAACAGAAAAGGGAATTTATTGAGTCTTATAACTGAAAGGTGCAGGGGTATAGGGGTAAGCTGGATTTAGGCCTCCCACACTATTGTTAGAAATGTTTCTCTCTCTTTCCACTTCTCAGCTCTGTGTTTTTCTGGTTCCTTTCATTCTCTGGCAATCTCCCCAGACCAAATGGTTTGAAAACTACCAGTAGGTTCAGGTTTATTTCCTTCTAGCCTAGTTGGTCTAACAGGAAGAGAGCTAACTTGAAAGTGTTTTGTAAACTATAAAAAGCAGAATAAATGTCAAGTGGTTTTATTTGCTATAAGATTGGATAGCAGAATTGTGCTAAGAGGTTAAGTTAATCAATAAACTACAATTGTCCACTAAATCTTCAGGTCCTAATACTCAAATATGCATGGGAAAAGATCATATTTACCAGACAAGTGAAGCAACAGGGTATTTTATACTACCTCTTGTCATTAGTTTTCGATTGGCTTAGAACCTTAATTATCTGCTACAGGTATATAATGTCAGTCATACTAACTGTTTTTAATCTTACATGTAATTTACTGTTCTAATACTTTCTACTGCCGAGCTCTTGATTATCTGTATTAGTGAAAATTTATAGTGATAAGAATAATCTTAACTATTTATTCATGGAATAAATAATAGCAATTGCCTAGATTTTACTAGCATTTTCCAGTTCACAGAGCATTGCCTGATTCACCTGCTTTTGGGCTTGTATGTTTTTGTTCTCATCTTATACTCTTTGTGGATATGAGTTAAACTTCATGACCAGTAAGTAGTAAAGTCCTAGGAAGACTAACATTAGGAAAACTAGGATGCTTGCCAAAGCTGCAAAACTTCAATTTGACTGAGCTACTTGCCCTCTGCCCTTTTTTATCATAGGTCTTATAATAAAGTCACTATGTCTCTCTTTAAAAGAAAACTCAACTTCCTTACCATCCAGATTTCTTCTCTGTAATCATTTAACATGCTAAGATGAAGTATTAGTGGCAAGCAAATTCTGAATCAACAATCCATAAATCACTTAATTTGGAAGGAAGAGTGACGCTCAGTCCATGTGCCTTGTCCTAATTCCTTTTGAGAAAATAGAAAGACGTATCTCTTTCCTGGGATTAGCTCCACAATTCATTTTCGGTAGCCATCGCTTGCTCCTTGTGTAAACTGTTTTAAGAGGTCTTTAAAGGAAGCATAGCTATGTTTGGAGGAAAAAACCATTATTTTAAGGCTTGCCTTTTTAAAAAAGTGTCTGAGAGTTTGTTTAGATTTGTAAAAATAGCCTACTCTTCCTACTTAGAAACTTCTGCATTTCTTCATTTGTCTGTCAATTCATTCATCAAACCTATAACATTCCCAAGAGCAAGTTGGTGGACTTGACCACTCAGGATTCAGATGAAGCTGCAGGAGTGAAGACAGCCTGACACTGGCGTGGGGATGCACAGATAGCGGTGGAACAGGAGCAAGAGCCTGAAGGCAGACTCAGCAAGTTAATAGACTCTCGAATATAGGTTGAGTGACACTGTAGATCATTGGGTGAAGAGGGAACAGTTTTTTTAAATGGTGTTGTAGTGATTGATCATCTGTATGGAAAAAAAATGCACCTCTGTATCACACTGCACACAAAAAAATAGAGTTAAAGACCAAGATGTGAAAAGTAAAGCTTTACATTTTAGAAGATAATACAAAAGAATTTTTTCTTTTTGATAGTGTTTTTGTTGTTGTTGTTGTTGTTGTTTTGAGATAGAGTCTTGCTCTGACTCCTAGGCTGGAGTGCAATGACGCAATATTGGCTCACTGCAACCTCTGCCTCCTGGGTTCAAGCATTCTCCTTCCTCAGCCTCCTGAGTAGCTGGGATTGCAGGTGCCCGCCACCATGCCTGGCTAATTTTTGTATTTTTAGTAGAGACGGGGTTTCACCATGTTGGCCAGGCTGGTCTCGAACTCCCGACCTCAGATAATCCACCTGCCTTGGCCTCCCAAGGCTGAGGATTACAGGCATGAGCCACCATGCCTGGCCATGATAGTGTTTTTTATACCCACTCTGAGTATCTTATATTTTATACAGATGCTTCTCAACTTACGACGTGGTTAAGTCCCAATAACCCATTGTAAGTTGAAACTATCATAAGTCAAAAATACATTTAATACCCCTGCACTGCTGAATGTCATAGCTTGGCCTAGCCTACCTTAAATGTGCTCAGAATGTTTATATTAGCCTAAGTTGGGCAAACTCATCTAACACAAAGTCTATTTCATAATAAAGTGTTGAATATCTCAGGTAATTTATTGAATACTGTACTGAAAGTGAAAAACAAAATGGTTGTCAGGCACCCAAAGTACAGTTTCTACTGAATACATATTGCTTTCACACCATTATGGAGTTGAAAAATCTTAAAGTTAGAAAATCTTAAGTAAGTTGGGGATCTTCTATATACAATGGAAAAGCCATTAAACATAAAGCAAAAGACTGACAAATTCAATATTTAAACTTAAAAAGCACATAGCATAAAACTTTACTTTTTTCTACCCCCCCCCCCCACTTTAGATGGAGTCTCGCTCTGTTGCCCAGGCTGGAGTGCAATGGTACAGTCTCAGCTCACTGCAACCTTCGCCTCCTGGGTTCAAGCGATTCTCTCACCTCAGCCTCCTGAGTAGCTGGGATTACAGGCACCCGCCACCATGCCTGGCTAATTTTTTAGTAGAGACAGGGTTTCACCATGTTGGCCAGGCTGGTCTTGAACTCCTGACCTCAAGTGATCTGCCTGCTTCAGCCTCCCAAAGTGCTAGGATCACAGGTGTGAGCCACCGTGCCCGTCCATTGGCAAAAGATATGTTTTAAAATTACTTTGAATGAGCAAAAGACATGGATATGCAAAAAATGACATAAAATAACTTAACAGGGAATGCACATTAAAACCACATTACAATACTCCTAAAATATTTTACTATCGCTTGTTTGGCCAAAAATAAAACAATTGACAGTACCAGATGTTGGCAAGAATGTGGAGTCACAGGAACTCTTATACGCTGCAGGTAGGAGAGCAAATTGGTACAACCGCTTTGCAGAACAGATCTGTGAAATCTGAGTATGGACTACCCTGGGACCCAGCCATTCAATTCCTAATATAACCTAGAAAAAAAATGTTGTACTTTCTCTACCAGGTGTACTTTTCTGCACCAGGCATGAAAAATAGGAGGGTTTATAACAGCACTGTTTGTAAAAAGTTAAAAAAAAGGTGAGGGGGAGGATTCTGGGAAGAACCCAAGTGATTGTCATCAGAGAAATGGATAAACAATTTGTTCATACAGCTGGAATACTGTTCAGCTATGGAAATTGAGGGCCACAGTTGATGAGCCTAACAAGCATAAGGTAAAGTGAAATAAATGAACACCAGATGAATCAAACCAGTGCGTTTATATAAAGTTCAGAGTGATGCAAAACTAAGCAGTACATTGTCAAATACATATGTGATTAGACTATAAAGAAAAGTGAGGGAATTACAAGCACAGAATTCATAGGAGTGGGTTCACAGGAGTCTTGGAAATATTTTCTTAAACTGATTGGTGGGTACATGGTTGATGACTTTGTCATTCTTTCTACTAATAGTGGACATATAGTCTTGGTAGATAGAAAATACTTCCAAGGGTTAAAAGGTGATTTGGCCTACAAAGTATAGGGTATGCCAAGAACAACGGACCTTGGCAAAGCTACTGGTGGCTCAAACTAGGACAGCGACTGTGGGGAGCGGAAGATTGAAATGGACCTGAGAACAGTGCAGAAGGCATAATCAGTGCAGCGGGGGTGACTGGATGTGTGGGTTGGGATGATGAGCAAGATCCACACGAATGGGACGACCACAAGGCTTTCAACTTCCATATCAGATAGAAGATGACTTTGTAGCGTCTTCCCATGCAGGCCAAAGAGTGACAGTGTCCCCCTGTAAACTTGTCTCCAGAAATTGTTTCTCTGAAATGAATCCTTTTATTCCCCCAAATTAAACAATGAGAAAAGGAAAATATAAGCAACAAAGAGTATTTATAATGCTTATAGAGTTGATAAAAATGTAGGTACATAATCTGATATAAACTTTTAGACAGTGATTTTGCATGTGTCTATATTAGCACTTCTTTAAGTGCATTAGTAACTCATCTTGGGAATAAAGTGTCACATTAATTATCTTTGGGCAA